GGGATAATTTCATATCAACCTGTTGTAAAGAAAATCACTAGGCTTTTCAGTAGGGCCACAAGATGGTTAAATGAGACATTACAAAAACTGGGCTTCACAAGGAAAAGCAAACTGGAAGACCTACTTCTAGACAGAGTAGTTTTTGTCTTCTCCAAAGAATATTAACTACATATATAAATCTCTGAATATAATAAATTTTAAAATAAAACAAAGTTAAACAACACTATACATGCCGATATTACATGCCAATTATGTGCCTACACACATAGCCACTTCACATTTTATACTTTAGCATAATTTTAATTCTAGACAGAAGAAAAAATTAAAAAACCTACTACATATATGAAACTTATGAGCTGTTGAACTGGAACCATTCATGTCAAAAATGATGAGATTAATGAGCTCTATATAGACATTAATATTTAATATGGTAATTTTTAAACAGTATTTTATTTATACTAATTCCTGAAGTTCAGTGTTATGTTTGGTAGCAGACATTAACCAGAAATATGTTTTCATTAAAGAGAGTGAATATTCCACAACTCATCTGAATGCTACATGGGGTAAATGGATTTCAAAGTTTTATTCGGCAAAATAAATTTGTAAATTTACCTGCAGAGTAGCAACTGCATTTTCTACCATGCAAACCTATGGCCTTTATCTCACTTTTCTACTGATGTAAGTAGCAACAACTTTGGATATTTCCACTACTCTCAATTCTGATAACCCTAATTCTGTGTAGCACCACCAAGTACTTTCAGGAGAGTAAGTCAGATGGTGCTAATGTAGACCAAGATGGGGGAGAAAATTACAAAAGGGAAAAGACAGATTCTATGATCTTATTTATAGAAGAGTTAAATGTAATAATACATTTGATGGCTATGAGCCAATGTGTGTTATCTATTCTATTTTTTATTTTCACAGTATCTCTTTGACACACATGAAAAATGGCAATAAATGGCAATAAGTACACAGAACAAAATTCACACAGGAATAATATCATGATTCACTTTTTACTAAGTATGAGATGATCAATTTCAACATTAGTGGACTGAATCATTGTAGTCTCTTTCTCATGCCAGAAGTCATATTCTTTTTCATATTGTTGTTTATCTAGTCATCTCAAAATACTGAGAGACTGTAAGGGAAGATAGCCTTTTATAATAGACCTTTGGAGAAATTGTATATTATACACACCTTGCTGTTTACGTGGATCATAAATCTGGAGTCCAAACAAAGGTGGTCTCTCACTTCTTAACAGCGTCACATTCCTTGTAACCAGATCCAACTGGAAAATTGACCCATTCATATAATCTGTCCAGTAAATGTAATTTCCATGATGTGATAGTCCAAAAGGATGATTCAAATCTTTTCCATTGTAGACTACCTGCAATTAATTAGTGGAAAGTGAGCATTGGCAAGGTTAAAATAATTACTACTTTTTCTTGGCAAACACCAAAAACATAAACCAGGAAATACTAAACCTGAGATAAGTACTGTGCCCAAACATAACCATTTCATACAATAAAACCAAGTAAAGACTGTAAAGCCATCCTATGCATCTAGCATTATCTAACTTCAAAATTTTGTATGAATTCATTTTAAGTGTCCCCTGTCAGGTAACACAGAGGTATTGTAGGTGAACATGTAATCATTATATCCAGTAAATATCTACCTCCTTCCTTAGCAAGGAAGCATGATTCTCATAGCTTTGAGTATTTGTCAAGTATATCAAGTATCTGCTTGTTTTAAAGCAAAGAATAGTGTGTATGAGTTGCTAACTTTTGTTTCAGTGTAACGCAATTGCAGAGATTGCTTATTTATTTCTGTGAACTTCCTCCCCAGTTTGGGTTGTGAGAACTTAAGAAAAGCACATCACGATTTTTTCCCAAAAAAGACAAACTTTCTTGAAGGCACCTTCTACTTCTGGTTTCTTAACTCATACATAAAGCAGAATGTTCTAAACACTGTGTCTGCAAACCGATAGCTCCAGTCTCAGGAGTCCTTCACAAAAACTGCAACTACGTCTACATAAGAGCTGTCTGACAGAGAAACATTTAAAAAATATGTTAAGTCTCTGTAGAATGAAAACAAAATGTTAAAAAAAAAAAAGAAGGCAAAAAAAAAAAAAAGCAAAAAGAAAAGCCTAAAGTCACCAGCAAGTAAATTACAAGAATTAGAATGGTTTCCTTCACAAAGACACAGAAGACTGCAGAACTCTCAAACATCTACTTTTGGGAGCCCTACATCACAGCATCTGCAGTTTGGAATGATTAAACTCCAGCTGTCTTCTGCTGGCTGGGGTCCTCACTTGAACTAACACCCAACGCTGCATTTCTACCTTGTCTCTAGAAAAAAGGAAGCAGTTCATCAAATGCCCAACCTTGTCCTATTTAGAGATATGAACCCAAGAGAACAAGGAGATAAAGCCACATAAAATACAACTACTTTGAAGTGACAAACATCATCCCCATTTGCCCTTCACATTTTCTCTTTGGGCTTGGAATTATTTTGGATAGAACTCCTCATTCTCAGTGAACTGCTTTTGATCAAAATCAATCTATCAATTACCCACCCAGCTACTGGTGGAATTCTTGTAGGACCTCCCCGCTCCCTAAAATCTCCCCTGCACTGACAGAGAATTAAAGATGCTACTGATCCAGTTATATTTTGACCAAAATATCCTGTAATTAGCAACAAATGATCCAGGAGCAAAGTAAGTATCTTCTAGTTATTTTTGGCTACATGCATTTTATTAAAGTAGTTATGCATTTTATTTAAATCACAGGATTATAGAAAAACACTTCAAGAAAAACCAGAACCATTTTGTGTCACACTTCAAAATAAAACCTGTGAAGATAGGCACTACTTAGTATTCACTAGCTCAAGTAGTAAACAAAACAAGCAAACCCAGTAGTTTTCACTAGTAATCCACATGTAATCCATGGCAGCTGCATTTAACCTTCCTAGACCTGTTTAGTCCAGGAACTCTTCAGGAAGCGTAGCACTGCTAGTGGACAAGGATCTCTAATTAAAAATCATCTTTCTGCCAATGTGCTTAGCCCCATCCCTGCTTCATTACAGGACCATAATGGATTTGGAGCAAAAGTAGAAACATCAAATGTAAACCCTAGCCTAGCCATCATGACAAATGAAACACTAACAGCATTAGTACAGGCTTAACAACAGATCACTCAATATAAAGGATATAAAAAGTAATATGAGCTTGTACAGGGATGAGTTCCAGGGAGGACTCTGTCTACAGTTACTACTTTGAGTACTAGAAATCTGTGTATTGTCCTATCAAGGCCACCATGTAGAGAGAATCATGAGTTAAGGATAAATGAGAAGTCACTAGACATGTACGTTTTGCGACAAAATCCTCTCACAGGAGAATTTAATGACTGCCCTTCTCAATTAACAGTGACGTTTCAGTTGTCAGGGTACTAATTTTCTGAAGCAGATGGCAAACCCTCCCAAATTATCAGACTCTAGTCTAGGCTTTAACCATTTTCCAGATGCCTATTCTGTGCTTGTTACTTCTACAAAACAGAACTTCCATACAGCCTCGTATCTAGCTAGCACAGCCATCAGTAACAACTAAAACAATCTCTCCCCATCTTTGACTGAACTGTTGAGTGCTTCCCCTCTCTCTATTACCACAAATGTTCAAATGGGGCACTGGGATTCACTGAAAACAGCTTATCCAGTGAAGTTAAATAGAAGCCTCTTGGTTCTGCCCAAGAGTGAAGGTTTATTTCTACTGAAAAGCTCTTTGTAGCTTTGTGGCTCAAACAAAACTTAACTCATTGTCATATGAGAAAAATAGATTAAAAAAAAAAAAACAAACCTAAAAAAAAACCCACCAACTTTTGCGTCACTTTCTAAAGATGAAAATTTTAAGCTGTATGACAGTCTTCTACAGGAGTCTGCCAACATTGCTTGTTTCAGAGACTACACTGGACATGCCACAGGGTTATGCAGACTTCAAAAAGCTTGAAAAGTATTTTTATCATAACATAATAAAATCCAGAGAAAAAGAATGCCTGTGGCAAAACAGCAGTATTTTTCTTTTACCTTTCTGTCAGTTCCATTCAAAAATATCCTTTCAATGTGATCATAATAGGCATCACACCAGTATAACACATTGGCATGATAGTCCAGAGTTAAACCATTTGGCCACAGCATCTTTGATGTTACAAAAATCTGCCGACTGTAGCCATCCATCCATGCCTTCTCAATTCTTCCCACGCTGTCATCTATTTCATCTTCTTCCCAGTCGGTCCAATACATCCAGCTATGAAATTATAAAAATGAGCATTCAGATACCACTTAGTCACGTGAATTAGCAGAATTTTAGCAGCAGTTTGCAATAGTAGATCCACAAGCCAAAGCCATTTTGACTTTCCACAACTATATTTACTTTCCCTGTGTACTAGATGCTGCTGAAATGACACATTGTTTTGTTCTTATTGTAATGAACTACATGAATACCAAATGGGCTAACTGACAAGAAAAGTGAAAGAGTTGTTTGAGACCTTATTTAATCACACAAGAATGATGATTTTTTTTTTTTAACCAGCAATTTTACTGACTTTGTCAAAGTTCAAACTTGTACTGTGTGGGTTTTTTTCCAAGTCCAATTTGCCTTTATGATGCAAATCTGTTTTTTACTATGGTTACCACTATCACAAAAGCTGCAATACATGAATTAACTCTGACTTAATAGCTAAGGATAACCTTGACATTCTGTGAACTTCAGATCCCACATGAAAGCAGCCAAGTTACCCAAAAAATCTATTGTGAGCACTCTGTCCCTCACAAAAAATGTTTAGAAAGATTGGTTATAAAAATTATTTGAAAAATAGCTAGAAGGCAATTTTAGCATAGCTTTATGGTTTATAGTGCAGCAATGTGGATAACAAAACAACTCTGAAAAATGCTATTTAGAAAGGTTAAGCAAACACTGTAGTAAGTCATCTGAAAGTATTGGCTCAGATGAGTTCTCCAAGTTGTTCTCTACTGGCCGCTGCAGATCACACCCTACAGGTTTTTTTGTGGTTGCCTTTTTTTCCTTCTTGAATTAATCTGATTATCATATTTCATTACAGAACTTGCTGGTGACAACTTTAATTTCAACTATTTAAAATACACACCTTGAACTTAAGTAAAAGTAGAGGGTAGGAAAATAGGTTAAGAAACACATTTTTCTTATTTTTTTCCCCCCACAAAGTAAAAACAGGTTGACGGCAAGAAACACAGTCCTGTATTTAATCTATGAAACAACTAAAAAGCATTTTTGCTTATATTATACACAGCAACGTCAATATGCTGAAACCATTTACTAGCAAGTAAATGCTTACTTTTAAAGTCCAACCTAGGATTTCAATTATTAAGCACTAACTAGAGGAAAAACCTCATACCAATCTTAAATGGATCCTACTTCTTGAAGTTGTCATGATTTAATTGGTAGTTATTTCCCCTGGCCTTTGATTTCTCTAGGTTTATGTTTCTGAAATAACTTGTATAATCCTAACGTACTCAACCAGTCTGTACTTTAAAGAAAAAGTCCTGGAATTTAAATTCATAATTTACAAAGGAACGAAACACTAAAGTGAAAAACAGTTTTGTTATCACATCTGTGTAAATCACGCCAAATCTACTGGTTAAAAAAAAATAAATAATCAAATACACTTACAGGTATAGGCATAATTTGTTCCATTTTGGTTTTATTCAAGAAAATGGAAATGATACAGAAAAAATGCATCATTATCACACAGGTTTACAGATATGTGTATGTATCATCTTTGTTACTTTTCTCTCTCCTCCAAATCACCCACCAGAAAGCTGTTTTGGGTTCTTTTAATATTTTTGTAAATATATGTTAAGAACATCAACTAATTTTTGATACAGGAAGCTCATACACTTCAGCGCAGGTTTGACTAAAACAATACTAGGTTTAATCATGGAATTATAAAACCTGTGTATGTCCTAAAGCTCAGGCAGACAAGCAGGCCCGTATGGTATTTATTTTATTGAAAAATAAAAATATGTTTCACAAATATTTACATGACTGCTCAACAGCAATAGCTGGGCTCCTCTCCATTAACTTTTTGTCTGTGCTTATTATAGTTATCATGTCATAAGCTAAAACATGCTTGCAGCAACAGACATTTACATTAATGTGCTTTAATTGTATCTCAAAACGCAGCTAATGCTTCTACATTGGTTAAATCAAGATTAATATTTCCTAAACATAATTAAAAAGCCATAATAAATGTTATCCCTCGGGAAAAGCTTCCATGAGCAGTATAATCATAAAGGGCACACTTTTATTAGAAAAGTGTTTTATATAATAGCCCTTTTCAGACAATACGTCTTCATATGCTATTTCCTGTGCCATGCATTTACTGAGCTGGAAAATTTAACAAAGTAATTGTAGGTATGGTTATGGTTTGTGGTCTGATTTTACATCCTTACTATTTGACCTTAATTAATTGTAGCCTTTCCTCAAAGGACAAGCTCAAAAGTGAGAACCTGGCAGTGTAAATACATTCCAGGACTAGGAAAACAGCAATCAATCCAGTCACACTAGAACTACCCACAACATATTCTCCAGGGACAATTCCCTGAATAAATGTAACAGTGAATTTTTAGGTAAACCACAACTACACCACACTAATATGATGTTCTTTTTATATACAGCCTATTACAATTAATTATGCTATTAAGGAATGAAAAGTACCCATCTCATTTAATTTTGTAAACCAATGTGTAAAAGCATATGATTATAATTATCTTCAGAAATTGAAACTTACAAAGAAAAAAAATAAAGGACAGCATTATAAGGTTCACTTAGTATTAAAAATACATGCAGTCTGATACACTCAATTTGAGAAAAAGGTGAATCATATTCAGATTAACTGAACAAAGGTTCAACAGTGCCTGGGCTTCAGCCTGAAGGCTTCAGGCAAGAATGCTGAAAAGAATTTACAGATGTTATAGACTACTGTAGAATTACAGATTATTATATGACTATGAACCCCATCCTAAGCAAAATTCAGTCCCATATTTATACTAAAAGACAAGTGTTAAACCACATAAATTAGTCTACTTCATACCCATTGACAGGATCAACCACAATTCCTCTGGGGTGGGACATGTCTCCCTCCAGCAAGGTTTTTCTGCTCTGAGCAGCCTTCTCCAGCCTGGCTACAGCAATCGTTTTCCTGTGGCCATCATTTGTCCAATAAAGATTATTTCCAATCCAGTCCACTGCTATGCCTTCAACATTATCAAGGTCTGCGGAGGCAAAAAAGTAATAAGAGATTGATATTATACGTTTATGTCCTAACATTATCATTATCCATTAGTATAAACAATGAATATACAGTCCATATAGCTAAATTATACTATTTCCTTGAATCTGAGTAACATTTGCTGTGCCAGTCAGAATTAGTGTCTGCTGAAAGCACCCTATAAAATGGAAAGACTGGTCATAAAACTTGGGTATTAAACATAAACCTTCAATTGTTAACAATAGCTGGTCCTGGGCAAATCACTATTTAACAAAGCCCTACTTAATTTAAACCCAAATCACTCAAGTCAAGAACAGCTTCTAAGATCAGCTCTAGTACTCTAAATTATCTTGCTTTTACCCAAATCACAGTATCCATTCTCATTAAAAAATAAAATGGATGTTTGTTCCATTGTCCCTTGGCCTTGCAAAAATGTAAGCAAAAACATCACAACAGTCCAAGTTATCCTCCACGGCTAAGCAAATATATGAGTAAATTATTCACTTTGAAGGTGCTGAGGCCCTGGCACAGGTTGCCCAGAGAACCTGCGGCTGCCCCATCCCTGGCAGGGGTCGAGGCCAGGTTGGAAGGGGCTTGGAGCAACCTGGTCTAGTGGAAAGTGTCCCTGCCCATGGCAAGGGTCTGGAACTAGATGATCTTTAAGGGCCCTTGCAATCCAAATCATTCTACAATTCTATGAAACTACTGACACTGTAGAGCAATACACTAGCAAAAAGCAATGCTACCACTGGAGGTACCAACAGGCTCCACAGCTTGACAGGAGCAGAGCTCCATCCAGAACCAAAATCAGTCAACAATGTTTGCTGCATACAGCATGGAGGTTTCCCCATTTCAGAAGCAGTAAAACTATTCTCCAAGCAGGAAGTTCTTCCTCAAGCTTCCCCAACACCCTGTAACAATAACTAAGCTCTACCTTCTCCCACACGATCCCAATTCCTTAACAGCATAAGGTCTCTAAAAGCAATTCCTTAACAGCATAAGGTCTCTAAAAGGTTTCCTATCTCTCTTCCATAAAACCTTTTTTTTTCTCCAGGAACATCTCAAATTCCAAGCAGGCTGAAATACAGAGCATTTCCAATCATCTTCTCTTGGCCTCTGTAGTAAGGGTTGAGGCAACCCAAGTTCAGGTATCACCCTTCATCACACAATTGATCTTACACCATTCCTCTGGCACAGGTGCATTCACTCCTCATCTACAGGAGTATCCTAACTTTTGCCAGCTGAGGCAATATGATAGGATTAGCAGAGGTGCTGTAACACCAAGGGGAGCAATGGATGTTGAGCTATAGCATGAGTGACCACCACATTTACTCCCTCTCCCTCACCTTCAAACATGCTCCAGAAGCACAAGCACAAGGGACTTGCTCCACCCTTTTCCTCAGTGCCTCCATGGTGTATTTTGCTGCGCCCCTTCACCAGCTGGAACAGAGGCCCTCTTGAGCTCAGTTGGGTTGTGCTCACAAACACCTCCACAACCCAAGCCCCTGCCGGCAAGCCCCTGCCGGCAGCTGCTCACCTCACACCCTGTTAAAGGACCAGTTCCAACCTCCAAGGAAGAGAGTCCGGAGCACTAACTAACAGCCCCATTCACATGCCATTACTGCGGCTGAGCCCTCCGGCTTGACTCACCAACTCAGCTCGGCGGCCCCAGCCCCTCCGGGACAGCCCGATTCGGCGCACACAGCGCAGTGGCACCCTGCTTCACTACCCATGCGCCCCTGGCCCTCGTGGCGTCCATTAAGAAGCTCTGTCGGAAGCACGGGCCCCTTCACTTCCTAGCTTCCTCAGTTGTAGTTGGGAGCCAGAGCATGGCACCCGAGAGAGGGCTGAGGGGCAGCTATCGGCTGGGGGCGGCCCCGGCCTCTTGGGGGCGGGGGGGGCTGCTGCCCCCTGCCGATTCTGGAGGCTGAGGGAGCTGCGTTGCCTTGCTTTGGTATCCGTCCTGAGGGTAAACTGGAGGTGGAACCACTCGTTTCACTGTTACCTGTCTGGGCACCTTGTCACTTAAATTAAAAACTGATAGTGGGGTAACAGCTGTGACTGCAGTGCTTCCACCAAGCCTGAGAGGTCACAGCGCCAAATGGGTGCAAAAATGAAGGTCAGTATGGCTGGAAAGGTAAAAAGGAAAACCCCAAAACCAAACAAAAAAAACCCACACTGGGGGGGATGGGGGGGAAGCTAAAGCAAAAGAAACCAAAAACAATCAAAAAAACCCTTAATAGCACGCTTCTTGACAATATGTATGGTATTACTTATTTGTCATACTTGGATATACAATCATACAGTACAATTTTCATGATAGGAATCATCAAGATGTGGAAAAAAAAAGAATGTAAGTTGCTTTTTAGGTTCACATTTATGCCAGTAATGCCACCTAGACACAAGCTTTCATCAGTTTCATTCTTTTTCACCAGTGTTGGTGTCACTTTCTGATCAACACTGGAGGGTTTTTTTGAAAGATTTTCTCAGAACAAATATGATGCAGAGAGATTTTAATTGTAATATAAAAAAACCAAAAACAAACAAACAAAAAAAACACACAACCCAAAACATGTATTACAATTTTTTAGGAAATGCTGATGTGACAGGAGTCACTGCTCCTACTTAAATCCTGCTTGCACCAGCTATGCATGTGAAAATGTGCTAAACTAAACAGAACTTTGTAGTGTTTGAACTGTGCTGCCAGACATCTGTAATTTAACTGTCAACTTCCCAGACAACAACTCCACATGAACTCCTGAAGTGCTGGTTTGGGACATTTCAAATTATTACCAGTCATTTTAACTGCAGCAGATTTGTGCAGTGGTGCTGTGTTGCCATTGTTTAAACCTTCCCTCAGATTTCTCCACCAAAACGCCTCCCCGTAATACAATCAGTAAGTACTAATGGAAAGGTCTTACCAACATTTGTAACTTCAGCATACCTACAATTTTTCTTTTGCAACATCAGACATACTTTCCTTGGGACACAGTCTTCACCAGTAATATTTTATAGACCCCAAACACCTTAACTGACTGTCACTCTATTTAATAACATATCTCATTCCCCACAACAAGTCAGTACAATTCTTAGTGACAGACAGGAATGCAAAGCTCTTAGTAAGTTACAGTCCACATATTTAGTGCAGTACAAAGAAGTTTCTGCTTACTATAACCCACAGATAACATATGGTATGTCATCAGCAACACACTAAGATGTCAGTTTTACCAAACAAAAGAAATACCAGGCTTTTTATACACTTGGATGCAATAAAAGCATCTATAAAAGGTGTCGTTACAATCTCAGTGGCATTGGAACATGATAAATTGCCTCACAGTGTATTTGTTGAACAATATTTTTTAGTGATTGTAATACCATCATACTCGCTATCAAGCTGGCAGAGCTATACTGTTTTCAAGTACCTTGTCATTGCAAAATGTTTTGTGTTTTGTTAGTTTTAACTATTTCTTTCTAAAAAAGCAAAATGCATTTAAATGTTGAAGTGTATGATCATATAAATCTGCACTGTACACTAAAATTTAAAAAAAAAACAAGGATACTTCAGTCAGTATGCTTTCAATGTTTAAAAATAGAGTATTAGAAGAAGGTAGTGGCTACTGAAATACATACATGACATCCATGCAGCATTTTTTGAACTGCTTTTTCCCTCAGTATCCTCTGGGCACAAGGGCAATGAAAAATCAGCAAAGATGAATAATGCAAATGAGATGTTTTAAATGTATCAGGAAGAAAACTCTTGACAATAACATAGTAATCAAGAAATACGTTTACTTGTCTTGAAGAAGTCAACAAAGTGTAGAGTAGTTCAGGATTCTTTCTAACTTTAATGCTGTCTACAATCCCAAGTGTGTAATCATCCTATTGCATGCATATTGCTTATGTTAAATTAAACATTCATGGAGACGTGTATATATGTATGTGTATGAAATGGTGATGAATTTTACACTATCTAGGTTTTCTTCGAGTTGTTTTTTGTTGATTTTTTTTTTTTAACCCTTGAACTTCAAAATATAATCTATCACCTGCAGTGAACAGTAACAGGAATTAAAGGGACATAACATACACAGCTGCCGTTTTTAAATGTGTAGTTCTTTGAACATGGGAGGAATTGAAGCCTGACTACTTATGTATGCATGTGTTCCTTTGGTTTTCGACTACTTAGCTGAAGAACAGTGATTTTTTTTTTCCTTCCATTGTAATTCCATTTCACAATTTCTGTGTTTACATTGCTATACCCAGATACAGAAATCAATAAAATACGAGTAAATGTTGCTATACGCAGATACAGAAATCAATAAAATACGAGTAAACTTGCAAATCATCAATCCTTGATATTTCCCCTCCCTATTTTTACAAAATTACAGGATTTTACTTACAGTTGGACCTCTGCCCTATATATCAAATTAACTTGAAATCATTCCGAAGGTCTAAAAGATACTACAGAAAGACAAAGGTACCCACTGAAGTATCAACCAAACCTCATTCACATAAGAAACTAACCTAAATTTAATAACTCAGTCATGGGTGTAAAGTTAACACTACATGCCACATTACGTGCACAAGTACATGGGAACTGATGAAATCCATCCACGGGTC